CATTGATCTCTGACCAGAGACTGGGCCCGAGGGAATCACTGAGAACAACCTGAGGTGGACAAGGATCCCCCAGCCCAGCCCTTGTCCCTGCCCAGCCCCCCCAACAACCCCACCCTGGGCACCCCTGGCAGCGCTGCCCAAAGGCTCCTGGAGCTCTGGCAGCCTCGGGGCCGTGCCCTTTCCCTGGGCAGCCTGGGCAGTGCCAGCACCCTCTGGGGGCAGAGCCTTGCCCTGAGCTCCAGCCTAACTTCCAGGGGAAGTTTGGGATATAGATATATATATCTGTGTGTATGTATGTATATATTTATGTATGTATGTATGTGTGAACTCGGTCTGTATTTACCTGAAGGCCGGTTGGGAGCACCTCGATGAACCTCCACTCCTCCCTGGGTCGTAGCCCTGCAGCCAAAACTTCCCGGGCCTGGGATGCTGCTCTGGCACACAGACCCCATCATGAGAGGATTGAGTTAGGGGTGCTGCTTGGATTGTTTTGGTGCTGCTTGGGCTTGGGCAAAGTTTATTGTCAAAATCCATTAAAAATGGCTTTTGGAACAGACCCCTAAAAATTACCGTTGTAGATCCATGGTTTGGGGGAAAGGAGGAAACCAGAGACATGATACTGACCCACAATCCTAATTCAGGCAGAGAACAACGGTGCTGATGGAGCTGTTGGCCTCCCACTCTTCCAGCCCAATATTTAGTATATTTCTTTCATCTTTAATGGAACAATGTCATTAGAAGAGTCAAATTGTTGGGGCGGTCAAGGGTGGGAAGGAGGCAAACAGCACCAGGACTAGCACTGTCATTTTGGTTCCTGAGACAGCTCTACCCATTCCCCTGTGTGTGTTACTGCCAGGCAGGGACTGCTTGATCCCCACAGACAGGGCCACACCTGAAGTCACTTCTGTATTACACCCAACAGCTTTTTTTCTTTAAAAAAGGATCTTCCCAGCTTCTTTGAAGATAAGTGACAATCTTCCTTCTCATGGTGACCAGGCAGAGTTTGTGTCAGAAACACCTCTCCCCTATTAGCTGCTGCCTAAATTCTCCTCCCATTTGCATTTTGAATGTGACCAACTACTGTGTCAGCTCCTCTTCCTCTCCCAAAGTCAGTGCTTTCCCCTGGCAATCACTTTTCAGGTGAAGCTGGAGATGTTTCCTTGACCTTCAAGACCTGATGGTTTGAAGTGAAAGGGGAAACCCACATAAAAATTTAAAAGCTTAAAAACTATGTTGTAAGGTACACAAACAGCCCCTTTAAAAAGAAAGCTTACCTGAGATCCACGTCACATCCCCAGCCTACAGATGAATTCCTGTTTATTGAAATGAACTGACACCCACAGGAGGTATCAGGAGGTGGTGAGGAGGAGATGCTGGTGTCCTACAGACAGAAAGTACCAGAGTTCCTTTCCTGTTTGTCACTCCTTGCCTTCTGCCAGCACCCACAGGATTTCACCTTTGTGCTGTGGGGCACTCCCTCAGCTCCTCTCTGATCACTTGGTGATTTCCACAAATTCACAGGAACATAAATCATTTTTGGGACTATAACCATCACATTTGGTTACAACTGTCCACTGTGTTAAAATTTTTAACTGGTGAGGTGGACAGGCAGCAAGGTGTAAATATGTTGTAGCTTAGAGCACAGGAAGTAGGGATGTTAGATTGTGTACACAGTGAGCTAAAAATAGGAGAAAATTAATAACAGATCTAGTCTGGCATAAGGTCACTGTAGATTTGAGTTAGTCTTGAATCCAGAAACCCAAAATGTGCAGTTTTAATAGTGGAAAAGAGTTGAAACTGACCTTAATTTAATTTAATACTGACCTAAAATTTAATAGTGACCCAATTTAATACTGACCTAAAAAGCTCAGGTACCAAATCTCCCTTAAAAAAACCCAACCAACCAACCAAAACCCCCAGTCTGCTTCAGGAAGTTCTCTGCCTCATGTTCCAAAGCAGATAAATTGCCTAAAGTCTTCCATATTCAGAATATGAGTACAAACCAGAGAAATTCTCCCACAGATATTCCCACATGAGACAGGACAATAAATCACCAGGAATTAGAGGCTGAAGGGCTCAATAGCCCCTTCTGCTGCAAGGCAGATCAGCTGAATTGGAAGGGAATTCATAAGAGAAACAGTTTATGTAAAAATAAGCTATTTTTATTTCTTTCCCAGATACTGGACAATTCTCAGACATTGCTAGATGTCCTGAAGAAGGAAATGAGGGATCTTGGTAAAATCATTGATCCACAAAACACTTCATTAGGACAACGAATACGTCGACAAAAGCGCTCCTAAACTTCTTCAGCCTGGAATGTCCTGTTGGCCAGAGAGAGCTGCTTTGTGCTCCAAGGATGCCACACTTAATAAAAGCCCTTGTCTTGCAGAAGTGAATTTACCTTCCAGATGTGCTTTGGTATTAGTCAGAGACCCACTAAAGGAGATGTTACAGAGCAGGGTAGGCATTCACACAGAAATACCCTTCATTTAGAGCCCAGCAGTGCTGAGGCACATCCCAGGAGGTGACCCAGCAGTGATGCTCCTGCCCTCAGCACTGCCCTCACCTTGCTCTGCCTGGAGGCAGCTGGAGGAGCTGGCCAGGGGTTAGAGAGGAAGCTGGGAAGTGCAGGAGTGCAGAACCACAGCTCCAGGTGCAGCAGCATCACCAGCAGAAGGAGCAGAGTCAGCAGCACCCCCACAGCCCCGAGCTGTGCTGCCCACAGGGTTAACACACAGAACCAGAGCAGTGTTGGAGCTGCAGGACACTCTTGGCTTTAGCATTCCTCATAGGAGAACTAAGCCTGGGCTAGTTCAGACCCCTGGTCCCTAATTTGAGTAGACAGCAGCTTTGCTTTACCACCTGCAGTTCTGCAAGAAACAGAGCTGCCCTAAACTGACCTGGGCTTTTCCACAGGGGGAGATGCTCACTGGGACCTTTTTTTGCTAGAAAAGCTGTGCTGAAAACTCACCCCTTAAATCTAGCAGTCACAGGCAGTCTCACATTTTCCCTCATTCCCACCAGTCTCAGCACCTTATCCTGAAGTGTTTTATTAAAGGGAGAAGCCTCAACACATGGAGCTCCATGGTCCTTGTGTCATGTCCCAGGCAGATGCACTGCAGACACATCCTGCTCCAGGCAAATCACACAGGCAGCACATCTCAAATTAGCTTGGAATGGATTAGGAGGTGCAAAATACTTCTTTGTGGTGGCCCCCCAGCCAACATCTAAAACTACTGAGTAGCTCTTTTTTTTCCATTTTTCTTTTTTTCATTATCTTTCCAAAAGTATTTAGGCACCCAGGGCAGAAGGGAACAGCTACAAGTAGGGATGTCCTAACAAAATTTAATCCTGTTTTTCAGTAGAACAACCTTCCCTTGCTGCTCCAACAGACACCAAACCAAGTGCAAGGTATGCAGAGCATTTTCAGTTCACAGGGCAGTGTCACTTGAGCATTCACAATCTATAACAGACAAACCAGGAACCATCAAATTTAATCAGAGATAGCAGCCTGTTCCTTTGGATCACGCCCCACTCATTCCATAAAGCCCAAAGAGGCCGGATCTGTTCTCACCACATCTCTTTTAATCCCAAAGTACAAATCACATTAGCAGCACTGCTCCATCTGTTCCAGAGTGCAATTTTGACCCTGAGTTTACAGTAGTAGAAAACTTGAATGGAAGATTCTAGCAGATTCCTTTGCATATTGGCTGCATTAAACAATTATAATAGAACTATAAAAATCCTAGAAAAAACAAAAAATAACCCACATTCCTTGTTCAAGTTCTGCAGAAGAATGGAGTGAAACTTCCCTCCTGTGCTTTGACTAGAAGAGCAGAGCAAGTGTGGCTTGAAGGAAGCAACCAAGAGAGATCAATCAGATTTGGAACAAAGCAACAAGAGGAGCTGGCAAACTGGAGCACAACCAGCAACTCCCAGAGACTGGATGCCAGAGTGGGGAAGGACAGACCAAAGCTATGGCCAATGTTTGGGAATCTTCAAGAGGCTGGAGGCAGCCTGGACAATTCTCTACTAATTGGTGCAAAAATAACATCTAAACCTAAAGGCATTCATTGCTCTTCCCATCCCTCCTTCAGGGTGTTCAGTGAATTCCACAAGCATGTAACTGGCACATGAATTCCATGATGTTTCAGTGAAACCAGAGCTGGAAACATGCCAAACCACGAACCTTCAGTGGTTTTCCAAACTGACACCCAATGTGTCAAATCACAGTCAGGCTGTGAACCCACCCAATTGCCCAGTGCTCCACTGGGGAGAAGGGTTGCAAAAGCTGTCCAGACCCTGCACTGGGATCCATCCCAGGATCACAGATGTCCTTCCCACACTTGCCTAACCGGCAGCTGATCTTGAACAAGGAACATGCAAGGCCACAGGCAGAATAAATCATACGCCTCGGAAGCAGTAATTCGGTCCCAAAATCCAGTGCAAATATTGTCCAGAGATGCCCGGGAGCACGTGGTCCATCCACCCTTGGCAGCAGGATCGGGAGAGCCGCGGTTGCCGAGCTGGGGCTGCGCTGCCCCTCCTGCCCGGCAGCACTGGGAGCAGCCTCAGAAATAGAGCGCGGGCTCGCTGCTGAAATCCGAGAGACCGCCCTTCTCCGCCGGGGTGAGCTGTGGGCAGAGCAAGGACACCGGGTCACACCGGGCCAGAGGAGCCCCCTCGGCCCCGCTTGGTGCCTTGGCACCCTGCCCGGGCTAACTGGCTGTGTTTGGTGAGTGCCCCCCTCCAAACGTGCCCCGGAGTGTCAGAACGTCCTGCAATGGTTTGGGTTGGAAGGGGTCTTAAACCCACCTTGTTCCAACCTCCTGCCATGGCAGGGACACCTTCCACCACCCCAGGTCACTCCAAGCCCTGTCCAGCCTTGCCTTGGACACTGCCAGGGATCCAGGGACAGCCACTCTGAGCCAAGGCTTCACCACCATCACAGGGAACAATTTCTTCCCAATAGCTAATCTAAATCTCTTCTCTTTTAGTTTAAAACTGAACGCCCTTGTCCCATCACCATGTAAAAAAAAAATCCCAATATTCCCTGTTTTTTGTAAGCCCTCTTTAGGCCCTAGATGGGGCTCTGAGCTCTCCCTGGAACCTCCTCCTCTCCAGGTGAGCAGCCCCAGCTCTCCCAGCCTGGCTCCAGAGCAGAGGAGCTCCAGCCCTTGGAGCATCTCCATGGCCTCCTCTGGACTTGTTCCAGCAGATCCATGTCTTTCCTGTGCTGAGCAGAGTGTGCCAGCTGCCTGAGTCTCCTTCACATGGCCAGGGAAGGGCACTGGGGCGGTGTGATGGTCCCTTTGGGAGCAGTGACACAGCTCCCTGGGCAGGAACACAAACACAGGTGTGCAGGGAAAGGCACATCCTGTCCATCCACTGCCTGGAACAACCCCCAGCCCACAGGGGAGCACAAGAGTTGGTTATTTATAGGCTCACCATGACTTGGTTCCCCTGGGAATCAGCATCCTTTGGGAGGGATCCCTCTGCAGCAGGACCCTCGTACTTCTGCTCCTGCCACTCGCTGAACTTCACGGAGTGCTTTGGGGTGTAGCTGGATAAATCTGCTGGAAGGACAAAGATGAGGTAAATATTCCTCACCACCCCAAACAGAAGTGGGACAGGATCCCAGCAGGAGCAGCCTGGAAGCTGCCCATCTGCAGCTCCCTCCACGAGCATTTCCACCCTTAAGGGCTGTGGGAAACGTGGGCAGTGTCAGACACCACAGAAACCCCACAGTGCCCACCCACACAGTGCCTCACTCACCTGAGTTAGGTGTACTGGGATGCAAAGTGCTGTTTGGGCGTGGAATATAAAAGGTCCGAGATTTTTCATCTGTTTCAGAAGCAGGTCCTTCCTCCTCCTCATCCTCTTCTGCCAGGGAGCTCTCTGAGGGGTACTCAAACATCGTCTGCAAACTTGTCTCGTTGAAAGAGATCTTCATCTGACAACAGCAAAGGAGAATTATCAGGGAGAAGCACAGAACAGCCTGATGCCCACGCTGGCTCTGGCACGGGCCAGGGCTGCCCCCTGGCTTAAAGCAGCCACTGCAGACCCCCCAATCCCTGCCCAAGTCCTTGGTGGGTCTCTTGCCACACTGAGGGAAACCCCAAAGGCAGAGCCAAGGGGTCTGGAGCAGCTCTTTGTGCCCTCTGACAGCCCCTCACACTGACACCCAGCACCCACACGTTGGAAAGGTGACATTGCTAATTCCTGGCAACTCCTTTGTGTATCCCAGCTCCAGGAACCAGGATCAGGACTCCAGTCTTAGGAGATCATGGCTATTTAAGCTACACTAAACAGTGCTTAAAACCAGAAGTGAGAAGAAGGAAGCAGCTAAAGGCAAGATGGTAACAGGTGGTAGCAGACAGGGAAAATACTGGGCAAGGGGAAGGCCTAAAGGTTCTCGTTTGAAACCAGTTTTATCCAGTATTGTCACTAATGACCTTTCCACCGTAACTGGAGACTGAGAAATGAAAGTGACGCAAACACGGGAGTTCATCAAGGGCTAACCGGAATTTATGGCCATGAAGAAACCTGGAGAGCAAAAACACTAAAAATGGAATCAGGTTTAAGAGCAACCTTTGCCCTAAGAGAAGTTCACCACCTTTGAATAACTGAGGAAGAAACTTTGGGATTGGCTGCAGGACTGTAATCAACATTAGGATGCTGCTTAAATAAACCAGGAATGAAGGAAGGCATTTCTGCTGGAAATAGGGACTGCCCAGCTCTCCTCCCTGTGCAAATGTGCTCATCCAAGCTGAAAAGGAAAGCTGAGGGAGGGGTTTGCTCCCCTGCAGCCCTGCCTGTCCCACTCATTCCCTACCACTGTGCTCCTTACAGGTCACCTCAACAGCTGCACAGGAGATTCACTGGCAAAAACTTCACACCAGCAAAAGTAAATGTGGAGAAAAAGCAAAACAGCTCTTTGTAAGTACTCCAGAAAATAACCACCAAGGAGCACAGAACTGCTGATGCCAGCACACATCAGACAAACAAGGAGGCTAAGCTTGCCAGGAATAAGTTGATGCCAAAAGTAGGGAAGTATTTAGCCAACACAGATCAAGGTTCAGGAGCAGCTGCCTAAAAGGGTGTTGTGATCCCTTTACTTCTAAATACAATTAAAATTCAGCTAATAGGGTTATGAACAGAATGGAAAGGACGTGGCAACTTGTGACAGGTGGCAGGAGCCCAATGGGTCTATCTCTTCAGATGCTGTGTAATGACAGGCCAGGGGTGAGTGCAGCACATTTATCCCATGGTTCTGTCATGCACAAAATCCCCAGAGGCTGGGAAGTGCCACCAGGCCCCAAGCAGCCCTCAAGCACCACAGTGCCCAGGTGCACCCATTCCCTGTCACAGCAGTGGTAGGAGCACTGGAGTGGCATTACCAGGGGCTGCCAAGTCACACCAGGATGTCCCCAAGGGCCAGAGCTGCCAGCAGGTCACAGTGCCACGTGTGCTGCCCATGCCCAGGATCCCTGGAGCTCTGGAGGATCAGAGCAGGACAGGGAGCATTTCACTGCTGCTTTTCAGCAAAGCAGCCAGGGGAGCTTTGCTTGAATCTGGGTACCAGAGGGAGCAGCTGCAGCTCCCCCACACTGCAAAGCACAGCTGGAGCTGGAGCTGCTCTGCCCCAGAGCAGGATGGAGCTGGGACACGGGCTGGCCCCTTCCCCTGCCCCAGGAGAAGGCAGGATGGAAACTGCATGGAGGGAAGCAGCTGCCTCTCCCCATTCCTGCCCCAGCTACCCCAAATGACACAGAGCAGAAGAGTGATTCTGTTTGAGAGAAAAGGGACTGGAATGAAATGGTGCTGAAGCTGAGAGCATCCCACTTGCTGCTCCCTGAATTTCCCATCCCTGCTGCTGACCTAGATGCTCCCTGATCCGAGCCAGGCTGTCAGTGCTCACAATGTGGTGTCTGTCCTGTGGGGATGAGCCATGCTGCCAGGGACAAAGGCCACCAGGGTGGAGGTGCCCAGGGCTCCTGGAAGCCCAGGAGCTGTCCCAGAACCAGAAGCTGCACAAAGGCCATTAATCAGTGCTGCCAATGGCACTGAGGGGCAAGAAGTACTCGGCTAAACATGGAAAACAAAGCAGACAGGAGAGATATGCCTTGGGGTTTAGGATTTAAGCTTGGGAGATAGAACTAAATGTTCCTGGGTTTCTGCTACCTGGAGGAAATCTCTAAGAAAAATGACTTTGAGTCCAGTTTGGACCAAAGGTGTGTGCAGTGCTGGGGGAGAAAACCTCCCCAGCAGGGAGCAAAACCAGAGAGCAGAAACAGCCTGGAGACACCCACACCCCACACCGAGCCCAGGGACAGCACCAACACCCCAAAGCCAACAGCTCCCACTCCCCACAGCCAGTTCAAGCAGGAGGCAATGCTGGAGCCCCTGACACAGAGCAACCAGCCAGCCCCAGGGCACAGCTGGGGCCAGGATCACCTGCAAGGCTCACCCAGGCTGGTGTGTGGCACGGGGGCACCGTGGCACAGGTTCCCCCAGAGCACACTGAGCTGCCCTGTGGCAATGCCAGCCCCTGCTCCCACAGCCTGCAGCAGGCAGAGCCCCAGGGTGCTGCAATAAAGGCCTGGGCACACCCAGGCACAGCAAACACGAGGCACAGCCAGGCACTGGCACTGATGGACCCTGGGGCACCCAGCCCTGCCCATGGGGAGAGAGCCCAAAGCCCAAACCCGGCTGTGGCAGCACCTGAGCTCCCCTCTCAAAGCACAAAAGGCTTTCAGGGAAGCACAAAGCAGCTCTGCTTGAGCCAGCAGAACAGGGAGGGTGAAGCATTCAGGCAAAACCAGGGGACACAGGGCAGAGAAATGCTGTGAGTGGCTCCAGAGCCCAGCTGAGTGCTGTGTGCAGGAACACAGGCAGCCTCAGCCCCAGGAACCAGCCTGAAAGGAAAACCAAGAACCCAGTCATGGCACAGACAAGAGGTTTGCACAGCCAGCAGTGCCTTGCCAGACCACAGGGACTTTCATGGGAACACAAAAGGCACCAGGGGACGTTTCTTTAGAAGAAAAGCGTGTCCCAGCAGAGCCAAGCTCACTGGAGCCCAGCCAGAGGCTCTGCTCAGCCTGTCCCAGCACTGCTCCCCTGCTCCTGCCCCAGCAGCAGCTGCCACTTGTGGCAAGGAAGAATTCTGCACCCTTCAGCTGTGGATGTTTGCAGGGATTTGTCACTCTTTGCTCAGCTGGAGGCTTCACCCACAGCTGTGTCACAAACTCAGGGTCCAACCCAAACCCATATATACATATATTTATAAATTTATATATAAATAAATGTATATATTTATAAATTTATGTACAAATACTCTGCCCAGAAATCATACTGGAAAGAATAAATCAGGCTTTTCAGGAAATATTGTGCTGTTCAATCAATAGGTTCTTGTTGCCATAGCAAAAATCATTTATTTATTTGCTAGGATTTGAACTAGTAATGAGTAATATCCAGGAAAGAGAAGCCAGGGCAAACATTGCCCAACAAAGCATAAATCTGAGTAGTCATGCAGATCTCATTTAGAAAAGGGAAGTCAACCTTGTGTCAGGCTGGCAGGACTCAGGCTGCACCCAGACCAGCCACCAAAGAGCTCCCATATAGAGAGATTTATTTCTAAAAATAACCAATTTATAGAACCCAACCTACAACATGAGCAATGACAGTCTGCAGCCACTCACCTCCAAAAGGAGATGAGAAATTCTGCAAGGCATTATTAATGACAGAGCAAAGACTCAATGGCTTCTCACACACCAGGGACCTCTCAGAAGTCTCCAGGGGTTATTCTGCACCCTCAGCTCCAGAAGGAATCTCCTTACTGTGGCTTTTCCCTTCTCCACCCATTATTACATTTGCTGCTTGGCTCATGAGCCAAAGTAAGGTGTTTGCACCTTTTAAACTGAAACCTCTTTGACAATCCAAATCCTCACCTTGTAACAGTCAGGAAAAAGTAATTGTTTTAGGCATTAAATGAATAAAATCATCCTATAATTCTATTCCAGCAGGGAGAGTCTGATTCAGCATTGGCTCCCCATCACAGCAGCCTAGAACAGGGGGGGCTGGGAAGGACTGAGCCCCTCTCCCCTCCATGTGAGTGGTTCCCATCTCCCAAACCTGGGTTCCTGCTGGAGTTGCCATCCCTGCTCTGTCCTTGAGGAGCAGGATGGGATGGTGAGTGCTGAAGCACCAGCTGGGCTCCATCCCTGCCCTGTGCCACCCCACAGCACCTCCAGCTCATCCCAACCCAGCAAGAGCCTCACCAGATCCAAACAGCTGAGCAGCACCAGGGATCCAGACCTGCTCTCTTCACTACTGATTCTCCTCTAATCATCCTCTGGCCTCAATAATTCCCAAGTGACAAATCCAGGGACTGCACTGACCCCCCAGGACATGCAGGGGCTGCTGGGTGTGATTTAAAGCAGCTTTTCACACCTGCTCTACTACAGGATCACAGAACATCCTCAGCTGGGAGGGACCCTCCAGGATCCCCCAGCCCAGCCCCTGCCCTGCACAGAAACCTCAACAACCCCAGCCTGGGCACCCCTGGCAGCGCTGCCCAAAGGCTCCTGGAGCTCTGGCAGCCTCGGGGCCGTGCCCATTCCCTGGGCAGCCTGGGCAGTGCCAGCACCCTCTGGGGGCAGAGCCTTGCCCTGAGCTCCAGCCTGAGCTGCCCTGGCCCAGCCCCAGCCCTGCCCTGGCTCCTGTCCCTGTCACCACAGACAAGAGATGTCTGTGTGTCTCTGTGTCACAAGATCAGTGTCTGTCCCTCCTCTTCCCCCACAAGGAAGCTGCCTCCCCTCAGCAGCACAGGAGGGTTTGGCTGCTATCTGCAGGACAGGTGGATGATCCAGCATGAACACAAAGCAGGGGTTGACATCTCTGAGAGATCAAGCACGGACAAAACAAGTGCTCTGAAGGACCTTGTGCTCCTGT